GTATTTGCGCGAGTATCTGAATTACGCGTAATCCGTATAGACCGACAATGCGAACAAGTAACGAACGACTATACCGCGCTATGCGATCGGAGACTAGGTTTATATTAGCACGGCAAACTAGAAGATAATACGCCTATCGAAGAAGTTTAATATCCGATAGTTTAGCCCTATTACGGTAGTAGATAACCTTAGCGGCGCCTATAAGCTAGACCTTCTATCGCGAATACGAGTATACAATTCCTTCTATCCGCGATACCTTAGGCTATATTACGGTAACCGCGCTGCTCGCCCCCCGCTAATTAAAATTGTAAGCAATAGCGACGATCGCCTATAAGATAAGTATAAGGTAGAGCGAATATTAGACTCCGGAGGAAACGGAAAGAGCTTGAAATATCTAGTGCGATAGAAAGGGTATCTAGATATAGAGGCGACATAGGAGCCTTCTAAGATAGTAATTAAGAATGCGTACGCATTAGTTGCAGACTTTTACTATAATTACCTAAACAAGTCTAAACTAGCGAACTTCTAGCCGCCGAAGGACTAGATACCGTACGAGGAAGTAACAGAAGAGACGAAGGTTAATGCTAAGCCTATTAATGCTGTTATCGGTAGTAATACTGCGACTAGCTTAGCTAACACTTAGTATACCCGAGTTACCCGATCTATAACCCGTACGGCTATTTAGTCTTCTACGCTCTATAAAGGGGGTCTTATGCCTGCTTAGAGTAAGTGTTATAGTAATGCTAGGGTTACTGCACTTATAGAAGCGTCTACAAACCTATTAATATCTTATAGAACCGGCTATGTTGCCTTAGGTAAGGATACTATGCAGAAGGCGCGGCTAGTTCTAAAGGAAGGAGACATTAACGCAACGTCGGCGCCTACTAGCGCGCAGAGTGTTACCGGCGTTGCAGATAGCGCAATTTGGAGCCTAGTAGGAGTAGCTCGTTTGAAGGAAAACTTAGTGTCGTATAGAAGCGATAGTTTAAAGGGGGGGGTAATGTTACGGGCAAGCCCTTTATATGCGAGTCTAATATATAAAAGCCCGGTACGGGCCGTACCGAGGCTTAGCACCTCCGGGTTAGTACTTAACGCTCCCCTTCCTTCTACCTCTTAGATCTTTGTTCGCGACTTCGTAGATACCCCGAATACAAGGTCTCCGTTATAAGTACTATAGGCGGATAGGTTTAAGATTAGCTAGCGGAGGTATTAATAGATACGTTAAGAGCTTAGATTAAAGAAGGCATTATTAATAGATAGATAGATAGAAGCGGAAGAATAGATAGTAGAGATCTTATAGGAAGAGCTCGAGAAGTCTATAGTAGAGTCCTTTAGCCGACGGTACCTATATACCTATATTAGGTCTAAATATAACATTATTAGTAGAGATCGGCTATATCGTATAGCTTCCTTACTAAATCCTAAAGGGTTGCGAGTCCGCCGCGAGCGGGCGCGAGAGCACTATAGAGCGATTATTATACCTAGCCCTAGTTACGCAATATTAATAGATACTTACTATAAATTCGAGTATTAGGCGATATAGATCTACGTAGCGATTAATATTTACTCGCGTTATATTGTCTAGATCTATATAGGTATTACTAGCCGGACAGCTGTCTCTATACTAGCTTAATACCTTATAACGATCCGGAATAGTAGTATAATACTATAGATTATTCGATTAGACTATAGGGTAGAAACGATTCTAGCCGCGGACGCTTACTATAAGACTCGCCTTACGACTCGTAGTAACCCGGAATAAGAACAACCGCTCGCCTTCGAGGACTGCTTTAAATACGGTACGAGCAAGATAAACTAGCGGATTGAGGCATAGTAGCGTTAGCAAGTACCTATACTAAATAGCTAGAGGGGCTATTTCTACGAGTTACTACGCGAGTTACTATACGATGCTAAACTGCTAGCGGATCGGATTGCCTTCCTTATAATCTATATACCAATTATACGTTATAAAGTCCTCGAATTTGTTTACCTCTAGAATAGCTATCGTATCCGGAAGCAGGCTAATCGACTATACGTTATACTAGGTATTCCGTATATTCTATACTATTATCTAGAGCTTAGCGGGCATTCTTATTAAGGTATTCCTATACCTAACGGTGTACTTAATAATATAGAGTAAGACCTTTAAGGATTCGGTATATATTAGATTCTATAGTATAGACTCGCTATAGACTCGCTAATAGACTCGCTAATTCCTAGATCTTAAAGCCTACCTGCCCGAGGCTACGCTTTCTTAGTATAAGACAGCATTGTAGATTTATAGCTTCTCGTATCTAGTAAGTAGTAGCGAGAATAGCGATAATATAGAGCGCCTTTACCGCTCTGCCTACTTGCTTCTTCGAGGGTTAGCTAGGGAGTATATAGCTATAGGGTTAGAGCCGGAACTAATAGAGTTAGATAAGCTATTAGCAGCACGTAGTTAGTTAGCGGCGGCTCGGAATTAGGAAGCTAGGTTAATTGAGTTTGCAAATAATATATACTAATCTCCGATCTACGAGCCGGCCGCGAGTATATAGCGAGTCGCTTTTTCTAGTTCGATTTTATCTATAACCGTCTTAACTCTTAAACCTCTGCTATTTCTACCTCTATTTATCTAACAACTAACAATGCCTACTAATTAAGGCACCTATTATACTAAATCAGGCGTCGACTATACAAAGATATATAGTAAATACCGATTCTGTTTATAATACGGCCTTCTTAATCCCGATCTACTAAGCGAGCAATTTGTTCGCGAGCAATTAGTAGCCGCCGCTACTACGAGTAGCTCCGCGAGTATAGTACGAGGCTTTAATACGTTCCCCTCTATACCTAAGGCAGCTAATGCTATACGCAATACTACTAGTTAGTATAAGCTAGCAACTCGAATACTAAATGCTAGATCTCGGAGCCTCTCGTAACGTCTACTAATACCTGCTTTAGCTTTAGCTTTAGCTTTATTAGACCTAAAAGCATAGGGATACTATTGCCGCTATTTAATCTATACTTAGCATATAGAAGTTAAGCTTACGAGTACAACTAAGATATAGTTCTATAGTAAACCTACCCTATATACTACTATTACGGATACCTAGACTAACTAAGAATTCCTCGAAGCCGAGATAACATTTATAGACTAGATTGTCGACCGGATTAACGCCTACGAGCTACTAGATAGTAGTATCGATCGGACCTAGGACTATTTTAACTACTTCCTCTATATAGACTTTAATAAAACAACTAATTAACTAGAGAAGCTAGTAAGTAAGGCGCTTCGATTACTTAGATAGGCTTTAACGGTCTATAAACTAGCAATAAAGTTATTATTAGTCTACGAGATTAAGCTCTATATCTAGACTAAGTAGGAGAAGTAGCAATAACAAAAGCGGAAATATCGGTTAAGTACTATTACTACGAGTACTAGTACGAGTAATATAGCGAGTTAGTAAAAGGTAGTTAACAGTATTAAGATTAAAAAAGAAAAGCTATAAACTAAGAAGGTTATCGATACGAATTAGCCGCCCGAGATAATTAACTTAAGCGGCGATGCTACCGCGAGTATACCGCGAGGCACGCCTACTCCGAAAGGGTCGAGCGATTAGCAACCTACTAATAGATAGGCTAATAGCGGTAGATAGGCTAATAGCGGTAGACAGGCTAATAGCGGTAGACAGGCTAATAGCGGCGGAGAGGCTAATAGCGGCGAAAAGGCTAAGAAGACAAAGCGTAGTTAACGACTAAAGAAGAAGAGATAGAATAGTAGACTCGTAGTAGACTCGCTATAGACTCGCTCCTTAAATATTATCTACTAGTAGCTCGCGATCGCTATTTAGCTATAGCTCCTTCTATATCGTATATACATCCTTAGACTTAATAATAGTCTTATCCTTAAGCTATTTAAACTACGAGAGGCAATATCCTTCTAACTTATCGAACCTAGCTTCTAATGCCTTAATCTTTGCCTCTAGTTTAGTATTCTTTGCCTCTACGGCCTCGACTCGCGCCTATATCGCGGCTAGCTCGCTGTTTCTATCGTCTTCTTTAACCTCTTCTATACTAGCCGTATAGCTAGACTTGCCCTTATACTTATAATAAGCGTAGATACGCTCGCCCTTAGCATTAAATATACGATACTTAAAGTTATTAGAGCGTATATAGTAGTAGTATAGCGCTAGTACAAGCTTGCTAGAGTCCGTTTCTATAATAATTCTAGTAGCCTTATATTTCCGTAGTCTATTTAATACCGCCTTCTTCTTATCCGGTATCGCTATCTAATCGAGTAGCTCTTACTATATCTACGCGCTATAGTACTAGAAATCGTAGGTATTTATAGTCGTAGGGCGTCGAAGTCTAGAGCGAGTTAGTAGCGAGTCTATAGCGATACGCCTCGCGACTTACGATAAATATTCTCCTCCTTCTACTAGTAAGTACGCTACTAAAGCTAAAGCTAATGCTAATGCTAAAGCTAATACTGCTAAAGCTACGCTAAAAATAAGGTCGCGCAGAATACTAGTTATAGCGGCTACTACTATCGCTATTACTATCGGTATTAGTATTAGTATCGATAGAAGAAGAATATTACGAGGCAAGACGCGGAAGTATAGCGAGTCTAAGTAAGGTTTGTCGCGACAATAGGCATAGTAAGGTTAGTAAGGAAGGTACAGGAAGAATAGGAAGCGACAATAGGCTAAAGTGAAGCCATTGAGCCTCTGGTATGTATAGAGCTCCGTCCGAAAGTGCTTCTCCCCGGTCAAACTCTGCCCAGGATTCACATGTCAAAAGTTTAGAATCAACTGTCGCTTTCTGAGCTGTATACCGAATCCATAACCTGCTTAGTAGTCATACATGAAGGACCACCGTCTCATCATCACTTTCCAAAACAACCTGCTCATTGCGCCCCGTCGGATACATGGGGCAGCTTACGATGCTCCGGTTCCCGGACTCCCGTCATGCTGAACGCTGCACTAAATTCAAGCCCAACACCATCTCTCCCTTCTCCATTATCGTTTCCTCAACTCCTTCGCCGCCTTTCCGTCAATGCCCGTTCCCGCTGCCTCCACCGGCTCTCCATTGAGCTGGACCTGAGGCTGAACTGCGAATCCGCTGCTGCTGGCACCCTGTTCAATTGGATCACACTCCGTCTCCTCCTCGTCCTCACTGCGTTCGTCTTTCTCCTCGCCCGTGCGCAAGAATCGCACCAGAATTCGGATGATGAGGACGAACCAGAACACATTCACAGCCTGCAGAGCTGCCAGCAGACCGAATGTGATCGTCTGCGAAATCCAGCACTTATATTGCTGACTTTCCCAGTTCAGCTCGTATGATCCTACTGTCGCGAATTCCCCATTCGGCAGCAGAGATGCGAGAATCCTGAGATTTTGGTAGTGTCGACAGTATGCCCATACGCAGATGAACGTGAAGAAGTATGGTGGTGTAAAGTACCAATTAAGGTAATTAGAGATCTTCGAAGTCTTCGCAAAGAGTCAGTTGTAATTCTCACAGCGTTTGCACGAGTGGAACTTACCGCCAAGAAGAAGTCGGAAATGTCCATGGTCACGTAAACGGCCACTCCAATGTATGTGAAATGGAATCGATAGCTCAGACCGATCAGAGCAAGTGTCACAATGTGGTGCATCACAAGCTCTTTGAAGTCCTTTCTCGGCTTCTCTAGCTGTAAGAGAAGCACGATGCCCTGCTGTGCCCAGTACGATGCTTGCAGCAGATAGTAAGCCTTGAAGACAGCCTCATGCGAGCGGTGCGGAAACTCTTCGTACATGCCCGGGATGTTGAAGAACCACACCGGAGTCCTGCTCATGACGTAGAGCCCAAATGGTCCGAATATGGCAAAGTATATTGCGGTGTAGAATTGCTCCATGAAACGACTCTGCTTCCCTCTATTTCTGATCCCGCAGTAAATAGCGATCGGTCGAATAAGTCGCTGCATGAGGAACTCGCGCGTGAAGGAGAATACGATGGTGTAGAAGGCGACGAAGGCGAAATCTTTAGGACCTTTGCCATATTGGACCGGGTCTCCCAAATGCGCGGGTAAAGTGTTCGTTCTTTCGTTCAGCGGAGGGTTCGGGTAGGACAGGAAGATCGCAGGGTGCAGAGGATTGTGTTTTCCGGGATTGACAAAGTACGCGCTCAATATGATCAGCACTAGAATGAGTGGATTGACCCAGGTGTGCCTGAGCGACATTCGCACCCAGCGCTTGAACAAGCTCTTTGCTTTGCGCCGTTTTGAACTTCTTCCTGCTTTGCCATGGGTCGGAGTGTCCGGAGGCGACGGCTTTCCATGTGCTATATCTTTGGTCGCCAGTGCCGTCGCTCCAGTATCTCCTCGTGGGTCACCGCCCAAACTTGAGCTCTTTCGTCGTCGCGTGCCAATTCTGTTCGAACTGCTCAAACGCGTCACAGGGGGAGGCCTGGATGCAAGAGGCGGAAACACCTCTGTTTGTTGCGAGGACATGGTTGTGCTGGTCGTAAGGAGCGATTAGAAGTGAGGATTGTGCTTTGGAAGAGAAAAGCACGAAGCATGTAATCATCACGGCATGGGCATGGGTTCTGTATCAGCCAAGAAGCAAGGAGGAAGCTCATAAAGTTTACCCGCTCGATCTGTTGATCTGCAACGCTCCGCGCTTCAGCCTCCATGTGGGAGGACGGCGATCTCATTTCATCTCACACGTCGAAAATTTCGCTTGCAGAACTCAACAGACAACACACGCTCAATAGAATAAATGACCTCACCTCTGTGTTGCCGCAAGAAGATGGTTATCACAACATACTTGTGTTCACCCTGGAGATCCTGTCGAGTTTCTGCCATGAAGCAGACATGTATCTTCTTTTCTGCACAGCTATGAACGCGAGCCCTTTCGTATTCATTTCGTTCAGCCATGACCAGGGGTATATATAACGCCGTAGACTCCGGTCATCATCATCATGTCGTTGGCGAGACGGTCTGACCCACTCACGCCTCAGCGAGTAGACATTGCCCGTTATCATCGAGCTGCTGCGAAGCACATCTTCATCAAGTGTGGCTGCATCAGGAGACTTCATCTCACGCAACCTCTGGAGCTCAAGACCCTACTTGCTGCTCTCCTTACTAGAAAGCAACTTCTTAGCTCTGCCGAAAAAGCCCTTGCTCTTCCGACGAGCGGGCTCGCTGGGTGCGCTCTGCTTCGTGTCCTTCTTGCTTTGGGGAGACTTTGTCATGGTGGACTTCGGTTGTATGGTAGCTTCTCTCTTTGCAGGCTCGCTTGGCGCCTGGAACACCGACTTGAATTCCTCCCTAGAAGCAGCAGAAGAAGGCCCAGCTGATGGCGGCTCATATTGGAAGGCTTGCGAATAGCGCATTGAAGTCTGCCGGCCTATAGGCCTGCCACCAGCGAGAGGGATGTTTCCCGGGTTGTTCTGCGTAGCAGGCACATACGATTTTCTCCTGTCACCCGCAACACTACTCGAGCCAATCGTCGATGCTCCTGTGGCAGTGCTGAATGTTGCCATGGATTCTGTCCTTGTTCTGTCTGATCTCCGACTTGTGGAGCTTCCGCTATCAGCTACTGTTGCAGGTCGCGGCGTCTCCTCTCGAGCGGGCTCTTCTGGAATATCAATAGCTCTGCCTTTACCTTTGTCCATTTTTGGTTGAGCGGCGACCGTATATGCAGCTTCAGGAATTGGTTTGCTCGGGAGCCTTGAAGATGGTGCAAATGGATTTCTTACTGGTTTCGGCTCGTGGATGGTTACAGCAGATTCCACGAGCGTCAACTCTGGAAATGGTTCTTCTCCCGGTCCAGGCACTTCCTTAGGGTCTCGCGGCTGATCTTTCGACGCCCCAGAATGGCTTTCCTTCACAGTGAAAGGGTTGCTGAAGAGTGGGGTGATCTTATTGTCTTCCGGCCGGGTCTCGGCATTGGTGGTATCTTTGCTGGTCACTTGTTCGGTCGAATTAGCCGTTTGCTTTTCTGACTTCGATTCGGCTGCGTTCGATGCGAGTGTCGCAGTCTCTTCTGTACACATAACATGTCAGTATTGATTGCAGGGCAACTAATGCGAGCGATTGTGTAGACGGCCCGATTAGAGCTTGGAGGAGGTGGTGGCAACACCAGTGCTCCAGCAACCCAGGGCCCACCCGGCAATAGCTGCACCTTGGTGCACTGCTCGACCAACATCTTCGGTAACAGAGAGCAAAGTTGCCACAGCGAAACCATTGAATCGAGGACGCTTCTTCCGCTCCTGTTGAAGTGCAGTAGGAGAAGAAATGGGCTGATAACAAGTGATATGATGTTCGCCGCTGAGTCTCCGTCGATGATTGTGTATGAGAGTCAGGTACTCACTTGTCTCTTCGGGCAATTGGTCTCCAGGAGCTGCACCTGGACAAGTGTCAACACACAGCTGAAGTGCTGCCTTCGACGATTGAGGTTCACCTTCAGCCTTGGCCTGATCGTAGGGCTCGTCTACAGTGCCAGCACCCGTCACACCAGAAATGTGTTGTCGCTCTTCATCCTGAGTCCTGCTGGCGCCGAGTCCGACTACATTTTTTAGAGTTTCCATTGTCTTGAGAGCCGCTCGTCGATTCGGAGACCGATGAATCCCGCAATCTTCGGAAGTCCTGTAACAGGGCTACCAATGATGTCTACGATCAGTCGCGTAGTGAGCAAGCTGGTGAGTGATGGAAAGGTAGGAAGAAAAGCAAATGTGATTGGCGCAAGCAATGTCCAGATCGCAGCGACAACAGATGAGATTATTATTATTGAGTGCAGCAGCCTTCGAAGCTCTGCTAATATAAGCTCGGCCGTTGCATGGCGACAGGAATGCTGGCTGCGTGAGATGTTGCAGGAGGCAGCCTGCAAGCGCGGGAATATGGGTGTCTGTACATATATCAGCAACTCGCGCTAATTGGCTTGACCCACTTTTACCCCGGTCCTACCCCCCACTTCGAGTTGCTAGCAACTCCCCTAATGAAATTGGTTGAAATGTGCTTCAAATTCGAAAGGGCTTTAGGAATATAGTAATTTCGAAGGTCGCTAGCGATAACTCAATAAAGCTAAAGTTAACGTGTAGTATAGCCGTTGCGCTAAATCCGAGGTATATCTACTTGCTCTTGCCTTATTGTCTATTACCGCCGCCGCTATTGCCTCTATTATATAGATTACTACTAAAAGTCCTACTATTAAACAGCCGCCGCTAGTCTTCTAGTAAGAATCGCCGGTCGTTAATAAATACGCGTGCCTATTAGTTACTAAGTTGTAATATATCGATTGGCGGCGACTGTTGTAGTATATATTGTCGCAGGTCTGACGGCTACGGTGTCGGTGTATTCGCGACGACTATTAAATAGCGAAGACCGCTTAGTATAGTAGGCGCAAATAGAAGGCGCTATTAGTAAAGGACTTAGCGTATAACGTCTATTAAACTACCGTCGTTTAAGGAAGGTGTACTATATCGATAGGTGCCGGTTTCTAGGTTAGGTTTGCTATGCTTCTTAGTCGACCTTTTAGTATATTAATTGCTATATAGGCGCTATATTAGTCTCTAGCCTTCTATATCCGTCTTAATATCCTCTTCGAGGGTGAAAACGCGCTGTCGAAGCTTCTTAAGGTCGGCGACGTCGCTAGGTATAGATACGTCTATATTGGTGGACGTTAGTAGCCGTTGTACAATATAGGCGATATAGAATAGGAAATGTAGGAGGAATTTAGGAACAGTAGAGATGTGGGTTTGCTAAGACTACGATTTGTATAAGGTTTAGCGGGGCTTGGTAGGGCTGGAGTTGCTAGCAACTCCGACTGGCCCGTGCCACGTCCGTGCCACCCCTGGAGTTGCTGATATATAGATACTCGGGAATATGACGTTCTGTGGCCGTTGGTAGACGAAAGAGGGGAGGCGAGCCAATTGATTTGAAGCTCAGCGCGCGGTAGCATGAAGACTTGCAAGAAATGCAGATGGATCAGCGGAAGGAAGAAGAGGTACTTATCGAGACCATAGCCCACCCCACCTACCTGACGGCGTTGCTTGCGTTCACCCAAGCATGTGTCGGGTCGGTGATAGAGCACTCAAAGCCTCGTGGTGTGGACGCGTCTACATCGGCCGTGTCAGGACGAAACAGGAGAAGGTGGATGCACACAGTCAGATGGAAAACAACGAGGAAGTCTCGCTGAAGTGGGGCCAGCAGCGATTCGTGCTGCCGGAATGCATGTAGTGTGCTGCAAGTTGCAACCGCTCGATTGTGCTGAAGTCAAGAAAAGCTCATACACAAGCTCTAACAGCCATGCTGGGTGGGTATCGTAATCATGCTTCTCCAATCGTTCCCACTGAAACGCCAAGCGCCACGCTCGAGAAAATCAAGCACCTGTCAATATGCTTGGCCTGCTGATGCATCCACCGATGCGTACTGTACGTTTCGAGGACCTGCTGCCGTCTTCAAGCATATTTGCACGTCCTCGTCGACCTCATCCTCTATCGTGACGCACTGCACCACCGCAAAATCTCACGGCGTAGACCGCTCATCCTGGCAATGTTTCGCATTCGATGCATTAGACTCCATGTACGCGTCTCTGTCTGTCGAACTCGGCCTTGGTCATGAATGACATGGGAATGACATCGGTTTTCTTCTTGTTTGTATGCGAGAGAGGCTTGCGACAGACTGGACAGGTACCCGTGGCGCGGTCACTGCTCTTAGCACCGGCCATCAGAGCCCTCACCAGGCACTCGTGGCAGTAGAAGTGGCCGCACGCGGTAGCTGTGCAGTTCGTGTAGTTCTCCATGCAGATAATGCACTGTCTCTTGCCAATTCGCTGCGCACCTGAACTCTCCTCAGCAGCCTGCTGTGCCTTGATCGTCTCCTGCTGCTGTGCTTGAAGCAATTCATCTTCTGCTGATGGTGCCTCATTCGTGAGGTCTACTTCCTCGATATTCTCGGCGATTGGTCTCTTCCGCTTTGGAGCACGTCCTTCTCCTGCATTTGTGTCATCCGCAGACCTCTTGCGTGTGCTTCGCGAGGGCCGCGAGGCTGAGGCGTTCGGGGAGCTGGCAGCGCTGGTGAGATCCACGGCAGTCGAGCGGCGACCGTTCGTGCGACGTCGTGTGGCTGTAGGCATACTGCTGTCTGTCTCCGAATCCTCAAGAGTGACAAATTCTTGGCTGTCGCTATGGTTGTTGCTGGCTGGGGTGTTGCCGACGGACTCGAAGAATGGATTTCCTAAGTCGTAGCCGAAAAGTTGGTCAACGGCAGCGGCGGGCTCGCGGCTGTGAAGTGAAGAGGGGAGAAAGGGGTGGTTTGTTCTATGAAATGTGAGTCCTGAGCTGTTGCGCATGTGAACATGACAGCGGCTGGTGTGCCTCGTCTCACGCTTGCTGCCAAAAGTCAAGCAGAAGGATGGACGCGGCCAACACATGCTCAGCTCGAGAGTGTGTAATTCTCACCTGTGATCTCCACTTCTTGTTCCATTTGGAAAGGTATCCTCGCCGCCGTGCTCAACAGCCATTTCTCTGTAAATGTCCAGCTCCTCCTGAGTGTATCCATCGAGCTCGGCATTGTCCAGGTCGTCGAAGTCCCACTCAGCCATGATTCCCCTTCTCGCCCTGTTCCGCAGCTCGTGAGCTCGGCCAGACGTGGGAGAAAGAAGATGTGTCGCGCGGGCGATGTCATCTTTCACGGAGCAGCACTGGACTTAAGACGGAGCTGTGGTGGGTGGTGTCCGCCACCCTGCATCTCCACTCTTAGGGCAGCAGAAGCTTTGCAGCATTAGCGGTAGCGGTAGCGATGATGATCATCGATTTTCGCCTTTCGCCATTCGCCTTTGCGACTACACCACCTCCGACGCACAATCAGTCCAAGAATGTCTACAAATTAGTCGCATTACAGCCGGGAACGCTATGCGATCGCGATGTCGCCAGCAGCTGGTCAACGCCTGCGCCTTCGAACGATCGCAACACACTTCATTACTCCGCCTTCGTCCGCAACCCCTGAAATGGTCGTGTGCGAGAAGAACGTATGCTTCAGCAGCACCAGCTACACCAGATGACCAAAGCGGAGATGGCCTGTCTGGACGCCGCTCTCTTGCCATTCACTCACAGGCAAGGCACAACGAGATTGGCGTCCAGCAGGTCTCGGCGCATGTTCATTCGCAGCTCTTTCCAACGACAAGGTCTGCAAAACCTGATGAACAGCTGATCGCATTATCGCGACAGCACCTTTCGCGACACGAACTACTGGGAAAGACAAGCGACGGTTCAGAGCCTATCGGCTTTGACCTTCCGCGGCTGCATGGAGCCTCGCTGGACGAGCACTTCTATAAGCTAGGAATGGACAGTGCTGAGCCTTATCTCAGTCTGGCCAGGAAATACGCGAGAGCCTCGCCTCCTGCCAGACCTCGTCGATGGGTGCAGAGGAGCGGATGGACTAAGTACTACGCGGATGGCAGCTCCGAAGCTGTAGACTATCCACATGAGGAGGTATTGACATTCGACACTGAAGTCATGTGGCATGAGACTAGTTTTCCTGCAATGGCTTGTGCCGTATCTGCAACTCGTTGGTATGCGTGGTTGTCACCGTGGCTACTGGGAGAGAGTCAGAGTGATCGACACTTGATTCCATTTGGTCCTCGCGACAAGTCTCGAATCGTCGTCGGACACAATATTGGATATGATAGAGCCCGTGTGCTGGAAGAGTACAACTTGGAACAATCGCGAAACTTTTTCGTGGACACGATGAGCTTACACGTTGCCGTAAATGGCATGTGCAGCAGACAGAGGCCGACGTGGAACAAGCATAGGAAACAGCGGGATTTGCAAGATAAAATCGCTGCTGCTGACGAGAGTGCCGATCTGGCGTCACTGCTCGAATCTGGAAAGGCTACTTTCGACGAAGAGGCGGACCTATGGGTCGGGCGAGCTTCAGTCAACAGCCTGCGGGACGTTGCCAAATTCCATTGTGGAATCACGATTGATAAGGCCAGACGAGAGTGGTTTGGCGAACTTGACCGCGACGGTGTTGTTGAGAAGCTGGAAGAACTGCTTGACTACTGCGCAGCCGACGTCGAGATCACACACAAAGTGTACAAAAAGGTTCTTCCACTATTTCTTGAGACTTGCCCCCATCCGGTTTCGTTCGCTGCACTTCGGCATCTATCGAACGAGATCCTGCCTGTCAACAAGGGATGGGACGCGTACATTGCGAACGCAGAGGCGACGTACCACAAACTATCTTCCGCCGTTCAAGAAAGGCTCGTTGGGTTGACGGAGAAAGCTTTGGAAGTGAAAGAGCAGCCTGAGGTTTACCGGAACGATCCCTGGCTTTCACAGCTTGACTGGAGTGGCCAAGAAATCAAGATGGTCAAGGGCAAGAAGAAGGGAGATCCTCTGAGACCGGCTGCGCGACAGAAGAAGCCAGGCATGCCGCAGTGGTACAAAGATTTGTTCACTTCCAACGATGCTGACATCAATCTCTCTGTTCGCACGCGAATGGCTCCGATATTGCTCAAAATGGCGTGGGATGGCCACCCACTCATATGGTCCGACAAATACGGCTGGTCGTTCAGGGTGTCTCACTCTGAAGCTCAGAAATACCGCGATGCAGCGATGACCCAGTGCGACATGCTGGAGGAAGAGAACTTCGCTTTACGTGACGACCTCGATCACACATACTTCAAACTCCCTCATAAAGATGGTCCTGAGGCTCGATGTACCTCGCCATTAGCCAAGGGCTATTTGCAGTTTTTCGAGAATGGCACCCTTTCTTCGAAATATGCATACGCGAAAGAGGCTTTGGAGATGAACGCGTCATGTTCGTACTGGATCAGCGCCCGCGACCGAATCATGTCTCAGATGGTGGTGTACGAGAGCGAGAACCGTGACACCTCCGCCGAGGAGGACGGCCTCGGATACATACTTCCCCAAGTGATTCCGATGGGAACCATTACTCGTCGCGCTGTTGAGAACACTTGGCTTACGGCTTCTAATGCGAAGAAGAATCGCGTTGGCTCCGAGCTCAAAAGCATGATTACGGCACCCCAAGGATATTCCTTTGTCGGTGCTGACGTCGACAGCCAAGAGCTCTGGATCGCATCTCTCGTCGGAGATGCCAGCTTCAAGATTCATGGCGGAAACGCTATAGGATTCATGACGCTGGAAGGCACCAAAGCTGCTGGGACCGACTTGCACTCGCGGACTGCAAAGATATTGGGCATCTCACGGAACGATGCCAAGATCTTCAATTACGGTCGCATCTATGGGGCAGGCTTGAAGTTCGCACAATCCCTACTCAGACAATTCAATCCAAGCCTGTCCGAAGAGAAAGCCAAAGAGATCGCGACGAACCTGTACCAGGAGACTAAAGGCACCAAATCAAAGAGCAAGCACATTCGCGACCGACAATTCTGGCGTGGTGGTACTGAGTCGCTGGTCTTCAACAAGCTTGAGGATTTTGCAGAACAAGAACGTCCTCGCACTCCCGTCCTCGGCGCTGGTATCACGGAAGCTTTGATGCGTCGTTTTATCAGCAAAGGAGGTTTCATGACCAGTCGCATCAACTGGGCCATTCAGTCTTCCGGCGTTGACTATCTGCACCTGCTCATCGTCAGCATGGAGTATCTCTGCAAGCGATACAACATCGATGCACGCTTGGCTTTGACAGTGCATGATGAAATTCGCTACCTTGCAAAGGATGAAGACAAATACCGTACCGCCATGGCATTGCAGGTCGCTAATGTCTGGACACGAGCAATGTTCAGCCAACAGATGGGCATTGACGACCTGCCGCAAAGCTGCGCCTATTTCAGCGCCGTAGATATTGACCACGTCCTGCGCAAAGAAGTCGACATGGACTGTGTGACACCAAGCCACCCGACCTCAATTCCACCAGGTGAAAGTCTGGACATCATGCAGCTGCTCGACAAGGGAACACAAGCATATCTGGATCCTGCCGTGGTACCCAGGATAGCACCTCAACCAGATTGTTACGAATATACGTACCGAGCACCGGTCATGGAGAGCTTGTCGAATCAGAACGCCATGCAATACTTGCAAGCTCAAGTGGCCTCGTCCGCTGCGGAGCTCAACAAGATTGTTCGGGAGGCCAAAGGTCCCGCGACGAAGAAGCCATTTTCAGACGAGCCAGATGGAACGGATTTTGGTCTTGGCCGACCAAGATCAGAAACGACTTCAATCAAGACCACGAGCGCCTCGCAAG